TTAGCTTCCTTTAGGACCTATTAAAAAAAAAACAAAAACTTTGATTTTAAAATATTACAAGTAAGCTGAACATCTAACCACATTTGCCTCAACAATATACATTGTCCTAATTCTTAGGTCTAACATGAAGGTTTTCAATTTGCTAGCCCAACATACAGACACACATATACAACCAGATTTAGTTTAATCCAAAGCATCTTGCCAATGCTACTGTGAAATGCCTGAGTGAGTATCAGCTAAGACATGTTTTCTAAAAGTAATTATTCAAAATAAAAAGCTTAGCAAATCATCCTGTGGTCAGAATAACTATGGGTAGGTTCCAGAAAAATTGGGGAACTTCTCTTCGGAGATTCAGATGGTATTAAAGAATAGGAAAAACCATGCTTAATATCACGTCTACTATCTTCCATCTACTTACCATGCCACAGACAGGGAGGAGGAGGCAGGGAAAGCAATGATCACTAGAGCACAATGTTAAATACCTACAATTTTAAGGCTTTGTTTTAAACCATAGTAACTCTGAACGACAAAAACTGGGAGAATGCATCCCAAGAGTAAAGGAAACTACAGATTTCACAGAAGATGGCAGATAAGATGTAAAGTTATAGGTTGGGCGCGGTGGTTCACGCCTGTAATCCCAACACTTTGGGAGGCTGAGGTGGGTGAATCACTTGAGGACAGGAGTTTGAGACCAGCCTGGCCGACATGGCGAAACGCCGTCTCTACTAAAAATACAAAAATATTTACCAGGTGTGGTGGTATGTACCTGTAGCCCCAGCTACTCAGGAGGCTGAGGCATGAGAATTGCTTGAACCTGGGAGATGGAGGCTGTAGTGAGCCAAGACTGTGCCATTGTGCTCCAGCCTGGGCAACAGAGTGAGACTCTGTTGACAAAACAAAACGTGTAGAGTTATAGAATACACATCTCATTTTCCCACTCATCCTTTGTGTCACTCTTCAATAAATAGCTGGCCACAAAGAATCAGCACGGAAATTATGCTGAGATATTATAAAGAGGAATACATCAATAGGAACTTGCCAAGGAAATGTGAATAGTTGAGAGAAACAGTTTTTAATAGTCTCAAAGATACTGAAAAATAACACACTCTTTCTCACTTAAAAACTCAAAGAAGCAACACTATAGAGAGTATTATATCGTAAGGAGATTTTCATCACCGAATTCAGGAAAGAACTGGAAGAGAAACAAATAATAGTGATAAATACCAGTCCAGAAACAATAAAAAACTAAATAGGCCAGGTGCAGTGGCTCACGCTTGTAATCGCAACACTTTGGGAGGACAAAGTGGGTGGATGACTTGAGTCCACGGGTTCAAGTGCAGCCTAGGCAACGTGGCAAAACCTCGTCTCTACAAAAAATTGGCCAGGCATGGTGGTGTGCACCTGTGGTCACAGTGGCGGCTGCAGTGAGCCAAGACAGCACCATTGCACTCCAGCATGGGTGATAGCCAGACGATCTCAAAAACAAGAAACAAAAAAACAAAAAACAGAAAGAAAGGAAAAGAAAGAAAACATGATTAAATACAGGGACAGGAAAGACAGGGTACAGGATACAAAATAAATGGAAAAAGGAAAAACACACAGATATGAAAAGCCAGGCAAGGTTGGCTCATGCTTGTAATCCCAACACTTTAGGAGGCTGAGGTGGGAGAATCACTTGAGGCCAGGAGTTTGAGGGCAGACTGGGCATCACAATAAGCTCCATCTATACAAAAAAATATAAAAATTAGCTGGGCACGGTGGTGTAGGCATGCAGACCCAGCTACAGGGGAGGCTTAGGTGGGAGGACTGCTTAAGCCCAGGAGTTTGAGGCTACAGTCAGCTACAATTCTGCCATTGCACTACAGCCTAGGCAATAGAGTGAGACCTCAAAAATATATATATAGAAAAGAGGATTCAACATCTGCATTGTTAAGAGTTCTTTTTTTTTTTTCTTTTTAGACAGGGACTTACTCTGTTGCCCAGGCTGGAGCACAGTCGCATGATCTCAGTTCACTGTAGCCTCCACCTCCCAGGTTCAAGCTATTATTTTGCCTCAGCCTCCTGAGTAGCTGGGATTACTGGCACGTGCCACCATGCCCAGCTAGTTGGTTTTTTTTTTTTTGTATTTTTTTAGTGGAGACAGGGTTTCACCGTGTTGCCCAGGCTGGTCTTGCTCCTGACTTCAGGTGATTTGCCTGCCTTGGGCTCCCAAAGTGCTGGGATTACAGGTGTGAGCCACCACATTAAGAGTTCTTTTTTTGTTTGTTTTTGAGACAGAGTCTTGCTCAGTCGCCCAAGCTGGAGTGCAGTGGCACGATCTTGGCTCACTGCAAGCTCTGCCTGCCGGGTTCACACCATTCTCCTGCCTCAGCCTCCCCAGTAGCTGGGACTACAGGCGCCCGCCACTACGCCCAGCTAATTTTTTTTGTATTTTTTAGTAGAGACAGGGTTTCACCATGTTGGTCAGGATGGTCTTGATCTCCTGACCTCGTGATCCGCCCGTCTCGGCCTCCCAAAGCGCTGAGATTACAGGCGTGAGCCACCGCGCCCGGCCCACATCAAAAAATTAGCCAGGCGTGGTGGCAGGCGCCTGTAGTCCCAGCTACTCGGGAGGCTGAGGCAGGAGAATGGCGTAAACCCGGGAGGCGGAGCTTGCAGTGAGCTGAGATCCGGCTACTGCACTCCAGCCTGGGTGACAGAGCGAGACTCCATCTCAAAAAAAAAAGAGTTCTTAATGAAGGTTACAGAATTAACGAAAAATATATTTAAATCTGTTATAGAAGAAAATGTTCTCAGGCCAGGCACAGTGGCTCACGCCTGTAATCCCAGCACTCTGGGAGCCCAACATGGGCAGATCATGAGGTCAGGAGACCGAAACCATCCTGGCCAACATGGTGAAACCCTGTCTCTACTAAATAAAAAAATTAGCTGGGCATGGTGGCATGTGCCTGTAGTCGCAGCTTCTCGGGAGGCTAAGGCAAGAATCGCCTGAACCTGGGAGACTGAGGCTGCAGTGAGCCGAGATCACGCCACCGTACTGCACTCCAGCCTGGGGACACAGCAAGACTGTTTCAAAAAAAAAAGAAAAAAAGAAAAGAAAAGAAAAGGTTCTCTGAAAATAGTAATCACCTACCACATGGGGATGGAAATTAGAGAGGAGAAAGGAAGATTTGTCACTGAATATTTTTAAATATTTTTGATCTTTTAATCATAATTTTTTTTCTACTCAAAATAAACAAGTTGTGCTTTGCTACTTCACCCTCTTGCACATCACCTTCTTCCCTACACCTGAGACTGTTTAAGTGAAGCAACCATCTTGGAACCACAAGGAGAAAGAGACACACAATCACATGTGAGCAAGCAAATGTACTGATGACAGCAAAGCAGGAAGGCAGGCTCTCTAGATATTCTTGGACAACTGCATCAGCTTTTTTTTTTCCTTTTTGTTTTTATGAGATGGAGTGTCACTGTCACCCAGGTTGGAGTCCAATGGCGCGAGCTCAGCTCACTGCAACCTCTGCCTCCCGGGTTCAAGTGATTCTCCGGCCCCAACTTCCCAAGTAGCTGGGATTACAGGCGCGGGTGTAATTTTTGTTTTTTTTTGTTTTTTTTGTTTTTTTTTGTAGAGGCGGGGTTTCACCATGGTGGTCAGGCTGGTCTCAAACTCCCAACCTTGTGATCCGCCCGCCTCGGCCTCCCAAAGTGCTTGAATTATAGGCATGAGCCACTGCACCCAGCCTGCATCAGCTTTCAATTGCCTACCTCCAGACCCCTTTGTGTGACAAACAGAAACTCCTTAGTTTTTAGGGGTTTTTTTTCTTTTTTTTTGAGATGGAGTTTCACTCTTGTCACCTAGGCTGGAGTGCAATGGCATCTCAGCTCACTGCAACCTCTGTCTCCTGGGTTCAAGCAATTCTCCAGCCTCAGCCTCCCGAGAAGCTGGGATTACAGGCACCCACCACCACACCCAGCTAATTTTTGTATTTTTAGTAGAGATGGGGTTTCGCCATGTCGGCCAGGCTGGTCTCAAACTCCTGACGTCAGGTGATCTGCCCACCTTGGCCTCCCCAAGTGTTAGGATTATAGGCGTGAGCCACCGCACCTGGCCAGAAACAATTTAGTTTTGTTTTTTTGGTTTTTTTTTGAGACAGAGTTTCGCTCCTGTTGCCCAGGCCGGAGTGCAATGGCGCAATCTCGGCTCACCACAACCTCTGCCTCCCAGGTTCAAGGGATTCTCCTGCCTCAGCCTCCTGAGTAGCTGGGATTACAGGCATGCACCACCACGCCCAGCTAATTATATATTTTTAATAGAGACTGGGTTTCCCCATGTTGGTCAGGCTGGTCTCAAACTCCCAACCTCCAGTGATCCACCTGCCTCGGCCTTCCAAAGTGCTGGGACTACAGATGTAAGCCACCATGCCCGGCCAGCTCCTTAGTTTTTTAACCACCTCCACCACTACACATATATTCTAAAATAAAGAGAACCTTGTATCTTTAGACTGAAAGTACATTCTGTCTTATAGTCTTATAGTGAGGTTTTCACCTTAAGACATATTTTGTTGAAGTTACTGAATTTCAAGAATGATAATCAGAACCTCAGCACTTTGGGAGGCTGAGGTGGGTGGATCACAAAGTCAGGAGTTGGAGACTGGCCTGGCCAATATGGTGAAACCCCATCTCTACTAAAAATACAAAAATTAGCCAGATGTGGTGGTGCATGCCTGTAGTCCCAGCTACTCGGGAGGCTGAGGCAGGAGAATGAACCGGGGAGGCAGAGGTTGAAATGAGCCAAGATCATGCCACTGCACTCCAGCCTGGGTGACAGAGCAAGACTTCATCTCCCCACCAACAAAAAAAACAAAGAAGATAATCAGGACAGGGTATGGGGCGGGGCGGAGGAATAAAGTTTACATGCTTCTTCACTGACCTATAAAACTCAGAAAGGGGGGAAAAAAAAGTCTGACCCTGGAATTTCACATCCTGATAAGCTGTCTCTTCAGGAACAGACATTCTCAAGCAAGCAAGAACTCAAGGAATACAGGCACCCATGAGCCACCTTTGGGAAAAGCAAAACAATAAAGGCGACAACAAAATGAATTAAAGAAAGAATTCAAATGAAAAAAACATTACCTCAGAAACGAAAATTGAAGGACTGGTAAAATGTTAAGGAATAACTCCTTTTGTAGTAAAGAAAGATTTAATTGAAGTTAAAAGTGAAATTCTTCCAATTTTACTTTGATTTCTTTTCAGCTAATTTCAAGAAAATTAAACTCTGGTAAATAAAAACTGCATGTACAGTATGATCTCATTTTTGTTTGACTATTCAGCCATCTTGCTTTGCTCTCTGTATAAATGGAGAGATGATTATGATGTTTTATCAATACCTGTTTTGGGGTAGTGGGATTTTAGGTAATGTTATACTTTCTTCCTCATGTTCTTTTCTGTATTGGTAGAAGTTTTTTTGGGGGGTGGGATGGAGTCTCGCTCTGTCTCCCAGGCTGAAGTGCAGTGGCGCGATCTTGGCTCACTGCAACCTCCGCCTCCTGGGTTCAAGCAATTCTCCTGCTTCAGCCTCCCAAGTAGCTGGTACTACAGGCGTATGCCGACACGCCCGGCTAACTTTTTTCCGTATTTTAGTAGAGACAGGGTTTCACCATGTTGCCCAGTCTGGTCTTGAACGCCTGACCTCAGGTGATCCGCCTGCCTTGGACTCCCAAAGTGCTGGGATTACAGGCATGAGCCACCGCACCCAGCCTGGTGTACGTTTTAACACTCACATAAGCCGGGCGCGGTGGCTCACGCCTGTAATCCCAGCACTTTGGGAGGCCGAGATGGGCAGATCACGAGGTCAGGAGATTGAGACCATCCTGGGTAACATGGTGAAACCCCATCTCTACTAAAAATACAAAAAATTAGCCGGGCGCAGTGGCGGGCGCCTGTAGTCCCAGCTACTCGGGAGGCTGAGGCAGAAGAATGGCGTGAACCCGGGAGGCAGAGCTTGCAGTGAGCCGAGATCGCACCACCACACTCCAGCCTGGGCGACAGAGCGAGACTCTGTCTCAAAAAAAAAAACAAAAAAAAACCCCAAAACACTCACATAGGATTATTACAAAAACAGTTGTTTAAATAATGATAATAATAATAAATCAACAAGAGTAGATACATATAAGTTGAGAGCACCTGGCTAAATGGATGACTTCCCGAAGCAATGTCTTGAAGAATTTTGGGGGAGTCTCCCAGGTGGTCATATCTGTAAGTGAGGTCCACTGGACTGCCTATAAGGGCCACTTTTAAGTCATTATGCAGCCAGCTGAAATAAAAACAACATTTTTAGAAGTAAATAACTAAGCTAAGCAGTTACTGGTCTCATTGATCCTAAGTGATACATCTGTTTACAAAAGACAATACATTTAACAGATATGATCTACTATGTACCTTTCAAAACAGTGTTACAAAAATGCATGCCAAGGCAATTCAATGCATTAATTTGCTGTGTAGAAATGCCATCTAGACCAGGCACAGTGGCTCACACCTGTAATCCCAACACTTTAGGATTTTGAAACTCTGTCTCAAAAAAAAAAAAAAAAAAAAAGCTATTAAGCCAGCTATAATTTTCTTTTTGAGAGACAGAGTCTCACTATGTCGCCCAGGCTGGAGTGCTATGGCGCGATCTCAGCTCACTGCAAACCTCTGCCTCCCGAGTTCAAGCAATTTTCCTGCCTCAGCCTCCTGAGTAGCTGGGATTACAGGCGCCTGCCACTAGGCCCAGCTAATTTTTGTATTTTTAGTGGAAGGCAAGCTTTCACCATGTTGGCCAGGCTGGTCTTGAACTCCTGACCTCAGATGATCCACCTGCCTCAGCTTCCCAAAGGCTGGGATTATAGATGTGAGCCACTGCACCCAGCCTAAATAAAAATTTTAATTTTAGAATTAATCTGTAATTTTTATTTTGCAGTATTTACATGGCAAGGTCAATTATCTCTTAATTATCCATTAAGGATATTTAAACATTTTCATAATTCATGAAAATATACTATGTTATTCAGATTTATTCTCTACAGCAGGGAACTATAGCTCCAGTTCTTCCAAAAAGTTGTAAGTGCAGTGACTATATAGTCTGGTTTCTCTGAGATAGTGCTGTTTTTACCTGTTATCCTGATATAATTATTAATTCCCTCTTTCACTCCCCTAGTTCAGACAAAAACTATATGGCTACCCTCTTTATCTCTAAGATGTAAATTTAAAAGACAGAAAGCATGCTACAAAATAACTGGTTTGTGTTCTTAAAAAAAAAGAGTCAAAAAAGGGACCAGAAGAGTCATGAAACTAATTGTAAACTAATAAAAAAAAATGAAAACTAATTGTCATATATGACTCCAGAATGGATCCTGAGGAAAGAAAAAAACTGCTATGAAAGAAATTATGAAAAAAAAAAAAATTTAAATATAAACGGTGACTTATGAAATAATACTGTATCAAAACTAAATTTCTGGCTGGATGCAGTGGCCTATGTCTATTACTCCCAGCATTTTCAGAGGCCGAGGCAGGAGGAACACTTGAGCTCAGGAGTTCAAGACCAGCCTGGGCAACATAGGCAGATCCCGTCTCTACAAAAGGTATTTTAAAAAATTAGCTGGGCATGTTGGTGCATGCCTGCAGTCCCAGCTACTCAGGAGGTTGTGGTGGGAGCATCAATTGAGCCCAGGAGGTCAAGGCTGCAGTGAGCTGCGATCATGCTAATATACCTTAGCCTCTGTGACAGAGCAAGACCCCTAATACAAATACTAGCTGAGCATGTTGGCATACGCCTGTATTCCCAGCTACTCGGGAAGCTGAGGCAGGAAAATTGCTTGAACCCAGGAGGCAGAGGATGCAGTGACCCGAGATCGAGATCTCAAAAACCGAAAAAACTAAATTTATTTTTTTTGAGATGGAGTTTTGCTCTTGTTGCCCAGGCTGGAGTACAATGGCGCAATCTTGGCTCGCCACAACTTTCGCCTCCCAGGTTCAAACAATTCTTCTGCCTCGGCCTCCTGAGCAGCTGGGATTACAGGCATGCATCACCATGCCCGGCTAATTTTGTATTTTTAGTAGAGATGGGTTTCTCCATGTTGGTCAGGTTGGTCTCAAACTCCCAACCTCAGTTGATCCGCCTGCCTCGGCCTCCCAAGTGGTGGGATTACAGGTGTGAGCCACTGCGCCCAGCCTAAATTTCTTCATTATTTAAGAGAATGCTCCTTGTTCTCAAGAAATCCACACTGAGAATTTAGGTATAAAAGGGCACCATGTCCACGAGAAACTTCCAAATGACTCAGAAAATTAGATTCACACATATCTATATATATACATATGTAGTGTATGTATATATACACACACACTATATATATACACACACACTGAGAATCATAATACAAACATGGCAAGACGTTAACATCAGTTAATCTATGTGAACAATATACAAAATGTATAGAAAGACCATTTCAAGCGTCTTGAATTATTTCAAAATAAAAAGCTAACAAAATAAATTTAAAAGACTGGTAAGGAGAGGAGAAAATGGACCTATTAGAAATCGTAGAAACTGGGCGTGGCACTTCACGCCTGTAATCCCAGTACTTTGGGAGGCCAAGGTGGGAGGATGGCCTGAACCCAGGAGTTCGAGACTAGCCTGGCAACATGGCAAGGCACCATCTCTAAAAAATTTTAAAAATTAAAAAAAAAAAAAAAAAAGACTGGGCACAGTGGCTCACACCTGTAATCCCAGCACTTTGGGAGGTCAAGGTGAGCGGATCACGAGGTCAGGAGAACAAGACCATCCTGGCTAACATGGTGAAACCCTGCCTCAAGGTGGAGCTTGCAGAGCCGAGATCGCGCCACTGCACTTCCAACCTGGGTGACAGAGTGAGACTCCATCCCCCTCCAAAAAAAAAGAAAAAAAAAAAACCTGTCTTCCAGTTATCTTTTGGAGTCTCACTACCACTAACCTATTAGGAAGATGTCATTTTTCACATATAAAACAAAAAAATTACGTAAATATTTTTAAACCTTGAATAAATACTATTACCAACCTCTTTCGAATTCTAGCATTAAACAGTGGTGCCTCAAAACGTGGATTTGTACCAACCAGAAGTACAACATCTGCCTCTTCCACACCAGCAATTGTAGTATTAAGAAGATAATTGGAACGCAAATCTGTGCTAGAAATACAATATATAAAATGCAAATTTACTTTAAAATACATACAGAGAATCCATGAAATATTCTATCATCAAACCCATTGCATTTCCAAACAAAAGATTTTATGAAGTATTTCTAAATTAAATAAACATTTCAGATACCTTTTTTTTTTTTTTTTTTTAAGACAGAGTCTTACTCTGTCGCCTACTCTGGAATACAGTGGTGTGATCTTGGCTCACTGCAACCTCCACCTCCCAGATTCAAGCGATTCTCCTGCCTCAGCCTCCCGAGTAGCTGGGATTACAGGCGCACACCACCACGCCCGGCTAATTTTTTTCGTACTTTTAGTAGAGACGGGGTTTCGCCATGTTGGCCAGGCTGGTCTCGAACTCCTGCACTCAGGCGATCTGCCTGCCTCAGCCTCCCAGAGTGCTGGGATTACATGCGTGAGCCACCATGCCCGGCCTGAGATACTTAGTGATAAATGGATTCCTCTATTTCCTACAACTTCTGGTTTGATCTTGGTCTATATGTGAAAATAAACTGGGGGATATGTTGGAGAATCCAGATCGTCACATTTTATACATAACTTCTAACTAAAAGAAGAAAGAAAAGCCTAGATCCTAGCTTCATATTTCTCACCCGGCTCCTGCAGTGGGGAAGACCTCTTCAGTGCATAAGGTGTCAGAGTCCACTCTATTAAGCAAATCTTTGAGAGCTACTAGGGCTTCAGCATCCACCAAGCCACCTGCAATTGCTGCCACATCTTTGCCTTGAAAACTCTGCAACTAGAAACAGATGAAAAGGGCATCATCAAGAAACCTACATGCAGCAAAGACCACAGTGAAATGTTCAGAAAATAAAACGGTAATTGTTTTCAAGTATAGAAAAAATTAACAGACTTCTGATTAAAAAGGTTTACGACACGGCCAGGCACGGTGGCTCATGCCTGTAATCCCAGCACTTTGGGAGGCTGAAGCGGGGGGATCACCTGCAGTTAGGAGTTCGAGACCAGCCTGGCCAACATGGTAAAACCCCGTCTCTACCAATAATACAAAAATTAGCTGGGCGTGGTGGCATATGCCTGTATTCCCAGCTACTCTGGAGGCTGAGGCAGGAGAACTGCTTGAACCAAGGAGGCAGAGGCTGCAGTGACCAAGATCGAGATCACGCCACTGCACTTCAGCCTGGGCGACAACAGTGAAACTCCACCTCAAAAAAACAAAAAAAGTTGTACAACAATTATTAATTAATCTAAAGTGAAAAGCTGCAGAGGTGTCATGTGGGGCCAAAGCTAATAACATCAGCTTGGAACGAAA